TTACTGAGGTTCATTAATTGATTAAAAACAATTTTTATACAGAAAAAGTTTTTTTCAGAAGAACCATAGCATTTGGTTGCGTGAAACCACCTCTTTGTCATGGGTCATAATAAAGAATCCTGCTGGTACTTACTTTTTAGAATTATCCGTAGTTGTGTGAGCGCTTCCATTTCTCTAACACATTTTATGCTGTTGCTTCCAGTTACATATGTTGCTCTGTTCGGCAGAAGGCATGCAGCCCAAAAAGGGGTGGGGTGGAGAAAAGATGAGGCAGAATCAGGCCAGCAAGGGAGGAAAACAGATGGGTTGTGGGAGATGACCCTGCCCCCATGTTGTTTTTGTTCTGACTGCTACAGATCAATGTGAATCAGCAGCCCAGAAATTAAGAGTTAGCGATCCTTTGATGAAAAAGAATGTTTGATCTTGCACTTAGTTGAATTATAAATTTATAACACTAAAATATACAAGTTTTACAGTAAATAATATTTTAGGAGTATTCAGGAATTGGTACAAGGGACTTAACCCACAATGGCCTTACCTCAACATTTTTGGATCTTGTCTCTACATTGTCATAGTTTAATGGGATTTTCTCCTGTGGGCTGTTTCAAAATGAGTAGAGTGTTTGCTAAAGAAATAAATCTTTCTGATGTATATATTTTATGCTAAATTATTTTCTTTTGTCAGTGCTTATATTTAACTTCTGGTCTATTTCCTAAGGTCAAGGTTAAGGAAACCTTGCTTTATGTCTCACCAAATCTTCCCTTTGTTCTATGGAAGAGTCTTATTTTTTAAAAACATTATAAGAATGTTCTCTGATATACACAAATGTAGAGAGAACGCGTATGATGAATTTCCATATACCTAATACCCAGTTTCTGCAGTTATCAACATTTCGCCACTTATTTCATCCATTGCTACCCCCACTCCATGCCCCATGGTCTTTATGGAAGCGTTTTATTGTAATACAGTTTAATATTAGTGTATTTTAATGGATATATCCTGAAACTTTTGAAGTCCCTAAATTAACAAATACCACCATAGCATATAATTTACCCAATAAAAATATGAGGTAAAGTAAGAGTGTGTGTGTGTGTCTGTATGTGTAATATATATATATAAATTGTAAGTGACCTCTTTAAGCCCTTAAATAATGATTCTATAAATATGGAACTTAATTACTAAGCTGTTAAAATGAATTCTGAACGAAACACTTGCTAAAACAGTTTTTCAAATTGCTGTTTCTTTTATTCTGGGCAGTGTCGGGCACAATCATGGTTCAGGTCTACAGAATTTGATATATCTTTCTGTAATCTATTAAAAATGTATGTGTTCTAAGAAACATCGCTTTTTAAACTTTACATTTCTAGAAATACTGGTTATATGCACTAAGTGCATACCAGAATCACAGACTCATGCAGTTAAACTTTATGCTTCATTAGAAAAATCGTGATACATGTGACAGGTGTCTTGAGAATAGTAACACATGTAAATGTCAAATATCTGAATCCCAGCAATAAAGATATTCTTATTCGGAGTAATAGGAGAAAGGTTGTTCTGAATTAGTGAAAAGTAAATTAAAGAACATTTTAAAGAATTAGCTGAGTGTAGTCTACAGTCTACAGTTACAGCTCCCAGCTACTTGGGAGGCTTGAAGTGGGATGATCACTTGAGACCAGCCTTGGCAACATAGTGAGACCTCATCTCTTTAAAAAAAAAAAAAAGAAAAGAAAAGAAATGTGTGGTTTTATTCTTTCAAGCTTTTTCGTCTGAACTCTGCCCATTAATCATTGTTTTCAGGACATATTTAATGAAAAAAATAACTCATTTACTTAATGAAATTTGACATGTTAGTCTCCTTTGTAATCATGTAAAGAATTATACATTATGAGGTAGCATATTAGTTTTTCTCCTAATGTGGTAAATACTGTTAAATTGCTGCTACTTGCTTATTCTATCCACCCCACCCCCACCTCCTGCCAAGTACCATAAAATTTTACTTAATTTCACACCAAGCTCTGGTATCACAGGTGTCAGTTAAATCTGAAATAATGGGGTTTTGCTGTTTGGTTAAGGACCTTTTATATGAAACTATGATTCTAGCCCAAGAGTTTAGCTCTGGGACTTCAGTGGTATGAGGTTTATTGGTTCCTGTCCTTGGCCTTATAATTCTTACTGTTTCTGTATGTTTCATGCAGTCTTCCTTGTGTCATCCAGATTTCCTCCAAGACCTGCCTGTCTTGGTCTCCAGATTCTCTTTATGCATCTTTCATATGCTTCTCTCTTTGTGTAGTCATTTAGTCACCAACTATCATTGAGTACCTGTTATGTGTAAATACTGTTTGCAAGGCCTATCTACTGTATACACAATTGTTGTCACAGTTAAATTTCTCTGTCCCCCTCCCCTCCCAATAGAGTGCAGTGGCATCATCATAGCTCACTACAACCTCAAACTCTTGGACTCAAGTGATCTCCTGCCTCAGTCTCCTGAGTAGCTGGGACTACAAACATGTGCCACGATGCACAATTCATTTTTCTATTTTTGGTGGAGACGGGATCTTGCTCTTGCTCTTGCTCAGGCTGGTCTCGAACTGCTGAGCTCAAGCATTCTTCCTGTTTCAGTCTCCCAGAGTGCTAGGATTTTAGGTGTGAACCACGATGCCCAAATTTCTCAGTTTTCTAATGAGAAGTATGAACTCTTATAATCCCTAATGATTTAACAACTGTTCGTTAAAAACCTATTACTCTGTGTGAAACCACTTTTCCTAGGTCCTAGGGCTGAAGTTTTAATACTGTCATCTTTCTCTTTTCCTTTTGGACTCACTAAAATTTTGCCTTTTTCAAAAACACACATTCCAAACCATCATCCGTAGGCATGCATGCACGTGTGTGTGTTTATGTTTATCAGGGTAGAGAAAGATATTGAGGACTGCTGTCCTAAGGTTAGACATCAAGGGTTCCTTATATGTCATAAACTTGAAGTCTTTTTAGTCTGAAAAGGCTGCTGTTAAAGGAAACAAACATTCTCTTTCAGATTCAGTGGAAAAGAGTACTGAGCCAGATGGATTAATTCTATACAACAATTGTTTTTTTCCAATACAGAGACATGGTTTAAGTGATGACAAATCATAGGCAAGATGGAAAAAAAATTCTTTGAAGGTTAAATTCTGAATTTTCTTAGTAGACATTTGTTGTTTTTACTTCCTAAAGTTGTTCAAACCCTTTAAAAATCCCTTTTCCCAATGTTTGTCCATACTACCGCTGAGAATATTGAGTTCCTATTACTGAGTTCCAAATATTTTTTTCTTTTATCTTACTCAAGTCTTCTTCCAGCTTTTTTTTTTTTTTTTGAAGTAGAGAGTCTTTCTTAATATCTTTATTCTTAATAATGTCATCTCCCCATCTTAATTGCTCTCATCTGGAACCTTTTCCAAGCCAGTTTATATTTTATGAGGTACGTCAACCGGAACTGCAGTCAGGTTTGGGCACACTATTGCCTTGCATGAAGGTAGAGTGTAATGGTCTTTTTAGTTTTCAGTGCCTTTCTTCATTTCGTGGCTGTTCAATATTTTGTTAGTTTCTTCATCTGAAGCAAATTAGACTAAAGTCCTCACCAAAGTCTGCAGGGAACTCCCAGGGAATCTCCCTTTACAGATCAAAAACTATAGAAAGTGTAGCCTTTTCATTGTAAAATCAATAGACATATTTTAGAGAAAATTTGGAAACTATAAGAAAGTAAAAAGAAAGAAAAATTTTTTATTGTTCAGTCAAACAAAATTTTGTGTTTTGGTATACTTCTTAAAGTCTTTTTTTCTCAGTGTAACATTTTTATATATGAATATGCATTTTTGTATCAATTCTTAAACATGACTTTAGAATAAACATTTCCACGTTAGAAATGCCTTATAAAAATTATTCTTAATAACTGCATGGGATTCAGTGAAGCAACATATTCTTAATTCACTTAACTACTAATTCTCTTGTTGAAAAGATTTTCCTGTTGTATATATTCTTTTTTTTTTTTTTTTTGAGACATAATCTTGCTCTGTTGCCCTGGCTAGAGTGCCGTAGTGTCAGCCTAGCTCACAGCAGCCTCAAACTCCTGGGCTCAAGTGATCCTTCTGCCTTCTGCCCTCCCAAGTAGCTGGGACTACAGGCATGCGCCACCATGCCCGGCTAAATTTTTCTATATATTTTTAGTTGTCCAGCTAATTTCTTTCTATTTTTAGTAGAGACGGGGTCTCGCTCTTGCTCAGGCTGGTCTCTAACTCCTGAGCTCAAACGACGCACCCGCCTCGGCCTCCCAGAGTGCTAGGATTACAAGCATGAGCCACGGCGCCTGGCCTGTATATATTCTTTGTCATGTTTAAAGATTTACTTTTCTTATGTTGCCAGGTGTTCTTTTTTATTTTTTGATTATCATGGTATGTAATAGCTGTAGGTGTTTTGTTTTTAATATGCCAGTCCTGCATACTATGATTAAATAATTCATGTAGGTTAAAATATTTGGGCTAATACTTGTCACCACACAGACATCTCTATTTTGACATTTCTTTATGGAATCTAATGACTTAGGAATTGTTTTTCTAAAGAAATTTTCTCCCTCAGATTATATTGGTACAATATGATACTTGAATATGTTGTAGACACTCATTAGCTGTTATTTCTCCAGATATTTTCCCTTAGTAGTTGGAAGGTCACCTTTATCTCATAGCTATTTCTCCTTGACTACCATTTCCTTTTGTCCCATTTTATGTGTGTGTGCTGCTTTTGTTTCACTTCTTGTCCTCTTGAATGATCTTGTTGGGGACGGTATCAGACTTGAAATCTTGTGCATTCTGTGAGCATATTTAATAATGATGCTAGCTTACTTTATAAAAAGCTTTTAAGAATAATAGTATTTTGCCAGTAATGTAATTTAAATATTAATATTCATCATTTACTAAGTGTAATAGTTTCTTCATGGTACCATCTAAACTTTTTGTCTCTTCTTCCATTTTCAGGTTGCCATCACGAAAGCCAAAGTGGATTTCTCCAGTGTGGTGTGCCTGCCCCCTTCCGTCATTGCTGTAAATGGGCTGGACGGAGGAGGGGCCGGCGAAAATGATGATGAACCAGTGCTCGTGTCCCTGTCTGCAGCACCCAGTCCCCAGAGCGAAGCTGTTGCCAATGAACTGCAGGAGCTCTCCTTGCAGCCCGAGCTGACCCTAGGTCTCCACCCTGGCAGGAATCCCAATTTGCCTCCACTTAGTGAGCGGAAGAATGGTGAGTAGATATGAAATTATTGCATTGCCTAATTTGAACCAGGGTCTTCATGTTTATTATAGATTCTTTATTTTGTGTCTTTTGAAAGTTTCTTATCATTTACTATTTCTTATAAAATAGAGAAGTAGCGGTAAGTTTAAGTGATCATTGTAAGCCGAACATTTCTTGCCTGGGTTATTATAATTTCTTTCTAATTTGTCTTCCTACTTCTCTGCTTTCCCCACCCCATTCCTTCCACAGATTCATTAATTCAGTGTATATGTTCATTAAATATTAATGTATTATAAACTGTACTAAGATTACGGATTAAATGGTAAACAAGTCTATGTCATTAGGAAACTTACCCTACCCTATATACCTTGTCAGAGTAATCTTTTAGAACTTCCCAGCTTAGTACTTTTCAGGGATTGCTCTATGGTATAAAACAAAAGCAAAATAAATTTCTTGGCATGGTTTATGGGGTTTTGTAGGATCTGATCTCTTTCTTTAGATTCTTCTCTTATCATTCCCCCACTCCTAGTATTTATTTGCTCCAGCCTATTAAACTACGTTTAGTACCATTTACAAACCATGTACTCATACCTCAAATTTTTTTAATTAAAAAAATTTATAATTGGTTATAAAATATTTAAGATTTGAAAAAAGGTATAAAGAATATAGCAAATATGTGCTCAAGTACCACCTGACTCATATAATATTGTTTCTCATATTTTAAACCCAAATATATATATGAGAGAAAACTATATTATATGTATTCTTCTGCAACTTGTGTTTATTGTTCAGTTTTTATTTTCCCTGTGAGTTATTAAAAATATTCAATATTTTATTCTAATTGAATCTGTTATCATTTATTGAATAGTTCTACATTTTTCCTACTGATCTTTCATGCCAGCCATATTCTGTTTCTGTATGTGCATGAGTTAGTTTTTAGGTTTATTCTGTTTCATTAGTCTCTCTATCTCTGTGTCAGTACTACCTCATTTTAGTAACTATTGCTTAATAATTAGTCTTGCTATCTGTTAGGACAGGTCTCTCCTTTTTCTTTTTCAAAGTTGTCCTGGCTATTCTTACCCTTGTAATTTTCCATGATATTTCTGCAAAAAAAACCCATTGGGATTTTTTTTCTAACATTTTATCACGAAAAATTTTAAACATATAATAAAGTAGAAAGAGTTTTATAATGAATATGTATGTGTCCATCTTTTAGGTCCTACCATTAACATTTTATAATAATTGCTTTATGACATATATTTTCATCTATCCATCTCTCTGTCCATTGATCCATCTTATTTTTTGATGCATTTCAAAGTAAATAGCAGACTTCCTGTCATTGAAGCATAACATAAATATAGAATAACACATAACTTGTAAGCATTCTTGTTGAGTTATCACAAAGTGAATACACCTGTGTGTAACTACTGCTTAGTGAAGAAATAAAACATTACCAGCACCCCAGAACTCTCCCCCCATGCGCTTCTTCCCAGTCAATACTCTTTCCTGTTCAAAGGGAAACTACCATCCTGATTTCTAACACCATAGCTTAGTTTTGCTTATTTTTAAACTTTATATAAATGGAGTCATACTGCATGTCTTCTATTGGTGGCTTCTTTTATGTTTTTGAAATTCATCTGCATTGAATTGTGTGTGGCTGTAGTTTATTTCCATTGCTATGTAATCAGTCCATTTTATGAATGTACTGCAATTTATTTGTCCATTTTATTTTTGGTGGATATTTAGGTTATTTTATTTGGCCACTATTATGAACCGTGCTGCTATGGAATTCTTATATATGTTTTTTGATGGACTTGTTGGGATTTTGATTTGAAATATATCATTTATAGGCAAATGGGGAGAATGCATACTTTAAAATATTGGATTTTCCTGTCCATTAATTATTTTTATCTATCCAGTTAAATAGGTTTTATTTAATGTCTTACACAGAGTTTTATGACTTTCTCCATAAAGGTCGTACAAATATTTGTTAAGGTTTATTCCTGGATACCTTTTTTGGGTAGACATTGTAACATTATAAATGGTATATTTTCATAAATATTTTCAGTTTGATGCTGATGTCAAGCCTTTTCAACTCCCCTATGCCTTTTCTACATCTGTATTTGGGATACCGTTTCTCTCCCCTACTCTTTTTGCTAACTCTTACTTGTTCTTCAGTATTGTTTGAGATGTCTTTCCTAACTCAAGTTTAGTGTTAGGCGCCCTCTTTTGGCTTGCCCAGTTACCCTTTATCATCATACTTTATCACTCTATATTGTAATTGGAATTCTCCACTCTGCAACCAATGAGCCTTTGAAATTGAAATCAGACATTGGTACATTCCTCCCAAAACCCTTCAATGCTGTCTTGCGAGGCTAACGATGGTTCTTACGATGTGGCCCTGGTATCCTCTCTGACCTATTTCTTACTGCTGTACCCTAGCTCACTGTACTCTGTTCTAGCCACATTGACTTTCTTGCTATTTCCTGAACACATCAAACATGGTCCTATCCCAGGGCATTGTACTTGCTGTGCCTTCATTGAAGTTCCTGTACAAACGTCATTTCCTTAGGGAGGCCTTCCCTGCCTGTCTTCTTTAAAATAGCACCTCCTGGTATTCTCTATACTGCTTTGTTTTTCTTCAAAGCACTTATTATTATCTGTCATTTTAGTGTGTGTGTGTGTGTGTGTGTGTGTGTGTGTGTGTGTGTGTATGTTTATAATACATTTCCTGAGGGCAGAAACTTTATTTTGTTCAGTGGTATATATCTGACTCCTGGCTTGTAGTAGGCACTCAATAAATATTTATTGAATGAGTAGATAAATGGTTTACTTGTTTGCCACAGTAGATATAAGAACTTTGTTTTTACATCCAGATAGTAGGTAGGTCTTAAGCAGTTATTTGTGTTCTTTTCTTATTTCTAATTTCCACTCTTTCCCTCCCCAACCACAGATGGCTGAGACTTCAGCTTATATACTAAAGGGAAAGAGTTAATCCAGAGGGAAAGGTAGAAGAAACAGGAACAGAAAGGATAATTGATGGAGAAGGTTCCTGTGGAGATGCAAGAGGGTGGGATCCAGGGTACTGGCTCTACCTTGGGCAGAAGTAAGGACCAGCTTTCCTCTGGGGTAGGAGGAATGGCAGTGAACGTGATGACAGACGGCAAACAAGAAACCTCCACTATCTGGGCAGTAAGTAGGGAAAATTGGTGCTGATAGTGGAGTAGAAGGCAGCCTCTTTCTCTGAAGTCTTTCCTCTTAGCACATAAATTAACTGAAATCCTTCCCAACAACTCTGACCTTCCCTTTGTATACAGGCACCTGAAAGAGTAGTTTATGGTCATTGTCTCTACTCTCTCATATTCCAGAGACTTCACAGCTTTCTGACTCTGTCACCAGCTCTCGTCAGAAAATGTCATTGCTAACGTGATTTGTGTGCTTTTTGTTGTAGCTCAAATGAGCACTCCTTAGTCTTTATCCTACATGACCAGCATTTGCATGACATGGTTGGCCACAACCTCAGACTTGAAACTTCTCCTCCACTGACATCTGTGACATTACCCTTTTCTGGCTTTTTAATCTCTGCTTTTCCAGCCACTCCCTTTTTTGCTCAGACACTTTGCTATCTTTTTTCCACCCACCTCTTAAATTTTGTTCCTCCCCAGCAGTCAGCCCTGGAGAAGAGAGGCTAGATGTCCTGGTAAGAAAGTCAAATTATATTTTACACTAGGTCTTTGCATGGTCATTTGTAGGGAGGTAATGGTAGGAGCAGAAATGGAAAATCCCTGAGGAGATTGTGAAATTATAAAGTGTAGAGTTCTAGAACAGAATAAATTCTGGAGTTAAAGGAGATGGTTTTTCATGAATGGGTATACTGTGTGTTGAGAGAGTGGAGTGAGAAATTTACTTCTTAGATCTGTTTCACTTAGAAGCATATTTTTTGTAGAAATTCAGTGGGTTAGCAAAGGTCCTTACGGGCAGTAGGCAGTCAAGGTCCTGATACCTCTATTTCTAGAATAGAGAAAGAGCATTAAAGAGAGGAGATGCCCTTGGTTAACCCAACCCTACTGACCTAATTGGAAAAAGTTGATAAGTTCCAAGGTGTGATAAGTTCCAAGGTGTGTGTGTGTGCGTGCTCGTGTGCGTGTGTATAGAGACACACACACACACACACACACACCAATCCTGCTGCGTTGCCAGGGATAGAGCGTAGTGGCATTATCACAGCTCGCTGCAACCTCACACTCCTGGGCTCAAGCTATTTGCCTGCCCCAGGAAGGCAGGAAGTTGGGATTACAGATGCATGCCACCACGCCTGGCTGATTTTTCTATTTTTTGTAGAGATGGGGTCTTGCTATGTTGCTCAGGTTGGTTTCAAATTCCTGGCCTCAAGCAATCTTCCTGCCTCAGCCTCCCAAAGTGCTAGGATTACAGGCATGAGCCACCATACCCAGCTCAAGGTATATTTTTAAAATATTACTCTTCAGTTTTCTTCTAGGCTGAGCACTTAGGTCTAAAAGGTAAAATTGATGTGCTTGTGGATCATGTCCAGCCTGGGTTTGAAGAAGCCTGGAAAAATCTTTTCTCTAATATCTAATCCCATCCCTTCTGGCTCATCTCAAAGAGTTCTGGCACCCATTGAATGAATATATATAATGGAAATCATTTCTTTTTCCAACTATGTATCCATTCCTAAATAATATAGATTAATTGAAGTTTATGTGTTATTTTTGTTTTTGTTTTTTTAGAGACAGGGTCTTGCTTTGTCACCCAGGCTGGAGTGCAGTGGTGCAGTGGTGCAGTTGTAGCTCACTGCAGCCTCCCAGGTAGCTGGGATTATAGGCGTGTGCCACCACACCTGGTTAATTTTTTCACTTTTTGTAAAGATAGGGTCTTGCTGTGTTGCCCAGGCTGCTCTTGAACTCCAAGCCTTAAGTGGTCCTCCCACCTCAGCCTTGCAAAGTATTGGGATTACAGGTGTGAGCCACCACACCCAGCCAGTTGAAGTT